GCATCGAGAGATAGAAATAGCTCCATTAGAGAGAATGACCGTTACTTTTGTGGGAGAGAGAGAGAAGGAGAGAATGAGAGCGGAAATTGCGTGGAATACGCACGTGAGGGTGATAAGCGCCTAGCTAAAATCCGCTAGAGAGGAACGAATCGGGTTGAAATTAATTATCATCTTGAAGGCTTAGGTATATTTGAAATCGTGGACACACAACACATACACCACATATGCGCGTTATCATACGTCTTATCACTTTTAATTATTATAATATTCTTCTCTCCCAAAATATTTTAAAATAAATATTTCAAGATATGTAAAATAAAGCTGAATGTTTATTTTGAGAGAAATATATACTAAGCTCAATTTAAATCCTATTATAAAAATTCGAGATGCGTTAGTAAATTCTTTTATTTGTCAATTTTTACCAAGAATCAATGCTCCTGCACTGGAAAACTTTAATCGACTTACTTTTAATTTTAATCCGATTTACTCTCTGCTCGCCGTTTTTTTACGATGAAGCACAACTCTCACCTTCACGTGGCGAATGTACATCTCGAGAAAGTGAAGAAGAAGAAAAAAAGGCCGAACGATTCAGCGGAAATTAATATTAAAAGTGTAGGCGACAAAGAGGTATACGTCGACGCGAAAAACGCGTGGCGAGCATTCGCGCTTCCCTTTTTCCCGCCGCGCCGGCGGGAAGCAGTGAGGGAAGGTAGCTAAAAGAGAAGGAAAGACCGAAACGACATTCAAAATCGCATGTACACGAGCTTCGCGACTCAGAACTCTGCTCGCAACAGAAATTATATAGATATAGATATATACACATACTCGTATTATACCGTCACACACTGAACACAACAGCACAGCCACAACCACTACCACTACCACTACCACTACTACCACCACTACCACAACCCACGCACATCCATATATATATATATAATATATATACATATATATTTATACATATACATCTATATATTATATAAACTTATATTACATCTCTACGGATACGAGAGGGGAACTCTTCTCACTCACTCTTATGTAACTTACCACACGCCGGTGTACACGCTGTAGGAGTATATATGGGACGCCTGTATGTGTGTCTAGAACTATCATCTGCTTCACAAATTCTCTGTTCTCGCAGGGAAACACACTAACGGTCACGCCGCTTCTCGTCGCATTCGCGAATCCGTGTCATCGCCCGCGTAATTATCGTGATACCGCGCCGTTTTGTTCCATTGACGGGCCCGATATGCGCTTTCATCCTCTGATAATGCACTTGTGCAAATTTCAGAACAATAGTTTGCAAACTTACTCGCCACGGCGTAATTGTTTGACGACAAGGATGTTTGGCAGTTTGTTTCGGCATAATTCAGCATGACGTTTAATTCCCTCAGTGTTAAACTTCGCATTAAATACGATAGCGGCGTTTGAACGTGCACGCGAAAAACACGCGTTGAAGTCTCTTAGAAGCACTTAAGGTGTCACGGCGCACCTGTCCGCGCTCTTAGCGCGATTCATCCGAGAGGCTTTTATTAATTAAATTTTTATTAGATTGACGTGATTTGCAATAAGCGCAACGCAGGATGAAAGGCGAAATTTTTTCAAGTACTTTCTGAAAAAAAAAAAAGACAAAAATGAAACGGAAATCGCAACGGAGATGCATTTTCGAGCGAGAGTCGAAAGAGGCGAAGCAGCGAGCGTGAATCGGTAACATTAATCCGAGAAGTACCAAGCTCTTTTCTCATATTACACTATCAGTGGCGTTTTTTTTTTTCCGTTATGAAGCAGACTGTCTCTTTTCTCTGGAAACCTCGAGATTTCGCTGTCGCGTGTTTGCATCCGTAGGAATTAATATCGAAGCATTTTCGAGAGCGCGATGTCGAGATCGAGTTACGGCGAAACTTTCGTTCTTGGCACAAACTTGGTACTTCTAGGATTGAAGGCGACAGATTTACAGGGGATAGGTCAAAACAGTTAGGGGAAAGAAATATAAGAGGGAGGAAAGAGTAATAAAAAAAAAGAAACGATATATACACACTCATCGCGAGCGCCGCTAGTAAAAGACATGGTAGGCTATTATTATCGCTAAATAGTCGCTAGCCGATAGTGATGTAGTTTATTCTTTAGAGTTATTTTAAGTTCTTAATTATATACGTGAGAGAAAAAGAAAAAAAAAAGAAGAAGTGGTTAGCTATAAACCGACTACTATCGTATCACATTACACACTGTAACACGTCGATTATAATGACAAGAATATTTACCTGTGCATATTGACATATTATGGAGTCACATCATTAAAACATATACTACTCAATATATATATATTCAGCGTCAGCGACTCGATTCATTGACACCCACACCATATACCATGGCATAATATCGATACCTCGGAAACAGAACAATCAACCTTAAAGACTTTTATATATACCTGATCGTCTTACCTTTAATTTAATTTTATTTTATTTGCAACTACACAACATAAATAATTTACTTAGCAAAAAGTAATTTTAATTCCGAAATAACAGATTACGAGGGGAATGTAGACGAATACAGAAGATCCACCACACCTTTTCAAGTATAAATATATATAAATAAATTATTTTATGGATTATCTTATGTACAGGGCGTTCAAAGATCTATCGGACTTCCTTTCGCGTACAAAGTCTTCAATTAATTTAAAATCGCGTTTTCAGAAAACATTTTAATTGAATATCTTCCTTTACACTCCAACTTTTTCTACGAGTAAGAATTTTTTCTTACAATTTTTTAATGTTGATTCGGCACGGAGTATCTTTAAATTTGACGCGAGAACGAGCTTGAAGTTAATGATGATTGAACTAATTCCGAGATATTAAGATATGGAGTAAGTGAAGGATTTTTGGTGGATGTGATTCGCATTAAAATTTAAAGAACTCGCCTTAATATATCTCGACTTATTCTTCCACTATTCCAAGTCGCCAAGTAATTCTCTCTCTCTCTCTCTCTCTCTCTCTCTCTCTCTCTCTCTCTCTCCTCTCTTTCACGCTTCTATTATACATATATACTTCCAACGCGAGTCTTTAATCTTAATTCGACTCACTCTCCAATCCCATTCACCCACCCCAATTATACTTATATACTACTCAGAAATACATTTTGCAGCGATTGTGTAACTGCGATTGTTACGAAGAACAGCAATTGTCAGGGAAGTTGGCAACAAATCTACAAAAGATACAATTACAATAATACATTTCTTGTATTATTTTTCTTGTATTATTACAAAATTTTTTATACTTTACTATATACTTTAACAATTATATGCCCTCGCGTATGCGTCATCATTTCATGTTTAGAAAAATGACTGCATGCTTTACACATTTTATTTTTCTTTTATATTATTTGAGACTGTTTAGCTCTTATACGAGACTTTCATGTTTTATCCACGTAACGTTATTCAGTTTATTCAATGGGATTTAATCGCGGATTAATTTCTATGTACATATACCTTCTTTGAGTCGAGATCTTCCGAGAATTTCTTTTGCGACTGATTCACGCAGCTAAAATAAATCGGTTACATCGTCGTCGTTAAATCTTTCCGCTGCAATTATAATGATATTTGATACAAAAACGATTTTTTTTCGGTTTTATTACATCTCTTACAATTTCTGTTTCTTCCTCATTATAAGCGTGTCTTTGTCTCAAAAGAGTTCTCTTTCTTTTCGCAAGGAAAAATGTTCGCGTTTTATTAATACACGTTCCATGAGTAATATCACGTAATACGAACCGTAAATCGATTACAAACGCACGTACATTTTCGCTCGATGCACTCGAGATACGAATCTCCGCATTATATTCCGACCCATTGGAGCGATCAATTTTTCTCTTTTTTTTCTGACGACCGTAGCGAATTCGACCCGATCGCGCGGCGCGTGAAATAATGCAAGAGGAGCCGCGCAATTAAAGCCCACCGACGGGTATCCCCGGGTAGCCACGGCTCTCCGCAAGGATGCATAAAACCGGCGCGAAAGTTTATGCAACGTGGTCGCGATAAATTGCGGCCGATAAGACGCGCGTATATCACCGCATAGCGGAGCAAACACACGCTCCTCCGCGATTTTCACGAACGAACGAACGAACTGCCGACGTAATTGCCGCAAATTCGTGCACGCGTTATCGGGCATGCACTTGTGCATCCTCGTGCGCGCATGTTATACACACGTGCCATGAATCGGATCGCCTCGAATTTCGCGAATTTTGCACGAGCAGTCGGCAGAGCGGAGCAGAGAGAAAGAGAGAGAGAGAGAGAGATTGAACGTCCGGACATGATAAAGTGGCAACCGCGGTGCGTCGCTAAAAAGGTACATATTTAACGACCGACGTACTCGACGGACGTGTGTGCGAAACGTGCAGCGCGCTTTGTAACGCTGTGAAAATTGATCATCCGGCACGTGAAATACCAAAGGAAGGGAGCTCCCGGAAAGGGAGATTATTTTCAATTTCTGTGTAAATGATGTTTCGGAAAAAGAGAAGCCGGCGTATAGAGAATAACGCGGTTTGATGACGTAATGCAATCGATCGTGTTTTTTTTTAATTCCCCACTCTTTCGCGATCGCGATAGCGCTACGTTGTATAAACTCGGGTCACTTCGTCCCTTCTGACGTTGATTCTCCGTTCGCGATGACGCGTGATGATATACCTTCTTTCACACCAATGTCTTTTTTGCGTTGCACATTCCTGTAAGAAGGGGCGGGGGGAGGGGAGACAATCTGGCACCGAACTTCATACTAGTGGAGTCTATACGGCAAACACATCAATGTCACGCGTTCGTCGCTGCAAAGAAATCAATCTCGAATTAACAAGAAAATTAAACAGTTTACAGGAAGGATCGTAGGTGAAAAGAATACTCATCGGACAGAGATCGACATGTACACAGAGATCGATCAGAGACAGAGGCGGCTCGGTCCGTCCACACAGATCACACGGACCACATGGACCAACATCCTCACATACGCATGAATACGCATCCGCGCGTGAAACCGAGGCGCGAAGCCTTCGACAAAAGAAAAATACAAAAATAATACGATCTTGATAACGGCCGCTTGAAATAGAGCTGCTTGGGCATGCGATCGATTTGCATGCTTGCAGTAGTTTCGCTAGATCCTTTGCATTTCGACGAGCATGCGCACGTTTCTTCTGAACTTGAGCATCTTGTTACGTCGTAAAACGCGAGACGAGCAACGATGAAACTCTGCCAAATGAGCTTTTCCTCGCAAATCCTGCTTTCGTTTACTCTCCTTTTTCCTGCCACTTTAACGATGCTTCCTCTTCCGTTTTAATCATTTTGCACGCGGAAGAAAAGTTGGACCAACTGCGTAAAATCATTTTAGCGAGAAAAATAAAAAAATATATTTTTTATATATTTATGTATACATGTAACAACAAACAAATAACATGTATTAGTTTAGCTGAAAAGAAAAGATCAGAAGAATATATGAATGTAAAAACGCATGTGCGAGAAGTAGTCGCGACTGCGGACGGAAGGAGGGGGAGCGCAAAAATTTCCAGAGGCAGGTGTTACATTAAAAATTGACGTAAGTAATGTATTTTCATATTTACAAGAGTTGTAAGGTATAAGTCTAATCGGGGTAAGTCTCGAGTATACTCGTACATATGTGTATGTGTATGTTGCGCTTGTAAAAATATAAAGCGCGTTTTTTCAAAACGTAATTATCCCATCGATATATTCGCTTCAAGACCGCGTCTCTCCGAGGAAGATTGCGGTAATTCCGTCCCCGCGACTCCGATCCCGAGCTCAGCTACCGCGTGTTTATAAACCTAATGTCTACTCGCACACCGCGGAATTTCAATTTGATATCCGCGACGATTACCGTTGGGCGTCGCCAAATGCGTTTCGCTTCCGCGTAAATCATCCTCATCGACGCAACGAGTACATTTTGAAAGAACGCCTCGGTTAAAGATGCTTTCACTGAAAGCGATTAATCTTCATGGACGTCTTCTAGGATTCTGATAGGCCGCGGAGCTTTTGCGCGCGTACAAGCGCCAAGCTTTACAAAAAAAAAAAACTGAACCTTTCGTCGACGAAAACGAAAGTTTTCGCTGCGTAGAAAAAAAATGCGAGGCGCTCGCGAAGTCTCCACCTATTTTATGGAAGCGTCCATCTTAATTCCTGCGGGAAAAAAATTTTGCGCGACGGCGCTTCCAAGAAAATTGTTGCAAAATTCGAGATTCTTGAATCTCCTTAACTCAGAACTTTTTTTAATTAATCTGATATTATTTGCTTCAATTAATAAACACCGTTAAGAAACGATAGTTTTATCGTCAGTTATTTATCGAGATTGAGATATAACTCTTTTGAGAAATAAAACATGATATATAACTTTATAATAATTTAAAAGGATACCGTGCAATATATAAACATCATAATCCTGACTTCGGAAAAAAAGAGTAGAGACTTTACCAGCATCCCGCAAGAGAATCTCGACGATACTTCCTTTTGAGAAATTTTTCATTGAATTAAAGATTTTGATGAAATAACATGCTAAGCCGCGCGAGAGAGAAAGTTTTTTGTGCGGTACAAGATTCCTGGGGCTTATACTTACAGATTCTATTACTAGAACTTCGATAAAAAGATTTCCCTTCCTTTTAAGAACAGCGAGGAATAAATGATGGAAGGAAGAAGGCACGAGGCAAAGGTACCAAATTGTTTTAATAATTTACGGCTCTTTTGAGTGTCGAACTTTTTTTTCGTACGGCTTAACATGTTACTGCCGCAAGCTTTTTAATTAATCTTTGCTCTCACATCGCGACTCTATCGCGGCCGAGGAGAGTTTTTATCGATTAATTCTTCACAAATATATATCGTCATATATATATATCCGTTTGTACAAGATGCTTATGTTCGCGTCAGCGATACAATGAAATTTTATTCGTACGACAGTCTTCAATTCGGAACTATTGGGTATTAAGCGAAACGCGAAGACTTGTCGAACGAAATACAAAATATCTTTAGATGTTCCAAAAACGGTCGCGCTCTTCTCTCCGTTAAAAATGCATCATCGCGCCCTCTCCATCCCTCGCAGGGCTTGACTCGGCACGCCGGGAGGTAAGGCGGCTGGCTCGCCCCCTCGGGCTTCAGGGTCGTTGTTAGCTGCCTCCGAATCCTTGAATCGCTTGTACTTCCCTGTAATTAAATACGCTTTATATGTGTCGCGCTAGGCATTCCGGAATTTTATTACATTCCAGTTTCAGAATACAAAAATTCTATTCAGATCGCAAAAAGTATAAATACATATAAATTAATAATACTTTAGAAATAACTCGCGATCGATTTTAAATAAATATGATCTTTTTCTTTCTTTCAAAATAAAAAATATACATAAAAATATATATAATACTTCATAAGAAAAATATTTAAAATCTCACAATCGTAAACAAGATAGATGTTGATGTATGTTATTTTATATAACAATATAATTTTAAATAATTTAATGTTTATTGCGTAAAAAATAAATTTCAATACTTTTGACTAATACATAGTTCGATAGCTAGGCAGTTTTATTTAAGCTATCACAGGATCCTTACTAGCTAAGCGGACCATGGTAACGCCCCACCAAACGCTCCAACCCCATCCGACGAGACAGAACAGAACGGTAAACATTTGGCTCACGCCCACGATGAGATTGACGATCAGTGCACCGAGTCGTGATCGCGCTCCGGCGACGGCGGAAAATCTCGGCTGTCCCGTACACAGATTGAACAGGCCGCTCCAGATGGTTCCTAGGCGAATTCAATTAAATTATCAGAAAGGGAATCCTGATTTTTATTACTGAAGGGATAAACCACTTGGAAATTTGGGAAATCGGTAATGGCCTCGCTTCGCTTTAGCAAGAGAGATGATGATATCAATATTTAGATTAATCGTACCAGTGCCAGGAAGTAGGAAGTTCCACACTAGGCAAAACCAGGCGAGAGGTACCGGCAGACAAGGAATGGCGCCGCGCATAACTGAATTATGCTCCACCAGGACATCCGGTATCTTAGCCTTTGGTTCCTACAACAATGCGCATTATGTTCTCTCATTAAAAGTAAGAAAACGATTTAGAAATTGTTTCTAGATCTCACGCAAAACTGTTAAAAATAGTGAAATATAAAACTCTTTAAAAAACTGTAATTTTTGTATTAATTATTAAAATCATACAATTATAATTTTAATTATCATTTTAATTTTTGCGATATTCGAATAATTACAATTTTTTTGCAGAAGAAATGACACAGTACTCCAAATAATATTCCAAAAATATTTCAAAATTGAAAAAAATGATTTTGACTAGAAAGTCTAAAAATTTTAGATATAGATATAAAAATAATTTTATTGGAAATTCAAAAATGATGAACATTTTTTTCTGTAAAATTTCCGTTTTGTGATATTCTAGTGCAATCAGTTTGAATTTTCAACAAAATTATTTTCAGATCTGTATTTAGCAAAATTTTTAGACCCAACAAATTGTTCTTTCTGTGAAACTAAATTTCTAAAAATCGGATAAGTAGCAACCATAAAAAAGTTTAGAAATTGAAGAATGCAAAATGTGAGGGTTTGTCCTGCTCGTAATAATAGGATATAAGTAGCAGTAATAATTCTTGTTCCAACAAAAAGTGTCCTTATACCTCCGATATGGGCGGCGGCGCCACGCTCGTAAGACTGTGCTTGGCACGTGTGTTTTTTGTGCGTTGTTGCGTGTCCGCGCGTTTGCAGCTGCATTTGCAACAGCTGAACGCGCGACGGCAGATCGCACCGCATCTTCTCTCAGGCGGGCAGCAAACGGTAGACTCGGCAGGAGCGATTCTCGATTTTCTTGTGCAACACTTGATCTCTCGTAGTCTATCCCGTAGACTGACGCATCTGTCAGAAAAATTTTTCGCGACGCAATTAAAATTTTGCGAATTTTCACAAAATTCTTCCAAAACTTTAAGTAACACCCGATAGGAATAAATCACAAAAGTCTAAGAGATTTCGAAAAATGATACGCATCTCTAGCTAAATACCTTATCGCGTCGCTCTTTGAAAGACGTCTAAAAAATTAATGTCCCTTTCGGTGAATGTAAATTTTAATTTATGAGAATATATTTGGCTGTTAGCAGAAAGCGTTTGAATATTTTAAAACTCAAATTTGATTTTCAAAGATCAAACAAGTTACGTCCATAAGAAGTCTGGAAACTGAAAATATGTATAAATATGTAGTAGCAAAGTGAAGCAAAGAGGATAACATAGGAAGTAAAGGAAAATTACAAGAAACCGTCCAAAAAGTTCCGGAAGCAAGTTCGTGGTTAAGATAAAGATAACAAGTTACAGAGTGATTACCAAGTGAAAACTAAGAATCGATACGATGGGATATCTTGGCGCGTAAAACTTTTATAGAAAATACTTTTCCCGACATAAATTTCGTGTCTTTATCACGTCACTGCCCTTATAATGTTCTACTCTCTTAGTATAATAATATACTATTTATACGCGACGCTTGATCGAGTGTAATTCAAATCGTTAAACGATACCTGCACCGCGCCTTTAATTTCGACCAGCACGACAACGCGTTTGTTGCGGGCGGCGGCGGTGGTGCATCGAGCGTGGGGATTGCAACAGGCGGCGGGATATCGTTGATCACCGTCGTCCTCCCCTGTTTCCTGGTCCACAGGAGACCCTTGTAATCCCTGCGGCAAGCGAGACACCTCATACCGGAGCAGCACTTGCAGTATTGACTCAAGGACCTTCCCCAACGTGCCAACAGTCTTTCACTATCGCGTTGTTTCTCGTTGTTGGATGCCAGGACACTACAACAAAATCGGGGCATGTCGCTGCTCATTATAATTCTTTGACTAAAACTATAAAACGTGCATACATTACTTTATGCACGGAGAAAATTTTTTTTTTAATTTACCCTGCAAATCATGTTAATTGTGGGACAATATAGTATTTAGGAAAATTTTACTGTGCACTACAATAAATTTGACAGTAGTAAAATACAGTAAAATTTATTGA